AGCACCTGATGATGATGATTCACTATTTGTATTCGTATTCGGCCGAATAGTTGGTCCAGTTATTCGTATTTGGCAGAATAGTGAAAATCACTATTCGGTACAGCCCTAATATACACACCCTGAGTAGATATCCCTGTGTGGGCATGTCTACATACTCACCCTGAGTAGATATCCCTGTGTTGGTATGTCTACATTCACATACTGAGTAGATATCTATGTGTGTGTATGTCTACATTCACATACTGAGTAGATATCCGTGAGTGTGTATGTCTACATTCACATACTGAGTAGATATCCCTGTGTGGGTATGTCTACATACACATACTGAGTAGATATCCCTGTGTTGGTATGTCTACATTCACATACTGAGTAGATATCTAAGTGTGTGTATGTCTACATTCACATACTGAGTAGATATCCGTGAGTGTGTATGTCTACATAGACATACTGAGTAGATATCCCTGTGTGGGTATGTCTACATTCACACACTGAGTAGATATCCCTGTGTTGGTATGTCTACATTCACATACTGAGTAGATATCCCTGTGTTGGTATGTCTACATTCACATACTGAGTAGATATCCCTGTGTTGGTATGTCTACATTCACACACTGAGTAGATATCCCTGTGTTGGTATGTCTACATTCACATACTGAGTAGATATCCGTGAGTGTGTATTTTTTCATTCACAAACTGAGTAGATATCCATGTGTGTGTATGTCTACATACACATACTGAGTAGATATCCCTGAGTGGGTATGTCTACATACACATACTGAGTAGATATCCCTGTGTGTGTAAGTCTACATACACACACTGAGTAGATATCCCTGTGTGTGTATGTCTACATAGACACACTGAGTAGATATCCCTGAGTGGGTATGTCTACTTACACATACTGAGTAGATATCCCTGAGTGGGTATGTCTACATACACATACTGAGTAGATATCCCTGTGTTGGCATGTCTACCTACACACATCGTGTAGATTTCCCTGTGTGGGTTTTGGTGCCCCAATTTGGAATTCAAAAGAAGTCCCACTACCAACATTATAAGCAGGTCGAACAAGGGGATTCACTGGGGAAGGGGGGAGGGGTGTCTGCTGAAATCGAAAGCGTTGGAGTGAAAAGCGCATGTATCACAGCCTAGCTGCAAACCACAGCTAAAAAATACCAACCGTCTTTTTACTGTAAAATTAATGACGTTCAAGTTCTTACCTAAAATGCTGATATGTCTAAGCAAGATGCTTAGTGCAATCATGCAGAAGCCAATAACAAAAAATTTCGTGGCACCCATTAGAGTGGACGCTTCTTCTTTCTAGAACATATGTTATTATTCAGTCCTTTTGCTATCAACCCTGCCAAATATAAGGTTCAAGAGTCTTAGAGACGACACCAGTTACGAGCTATTCATTAAACCAAATGTCGCGTTGTAGTCTTACTACTATGGCTATTAATAGTAATTACTCTTATATGATTATAAAAGTTTAGTTTTTGGACCTCTTGCCGCGTTAAATCACATTTACTCTTTACTATGCACTCCTAAAAATAAAATGATGACTATGTAAATAAATCAAGGCTTGTAACTGTTGATTAATACATGTTTTGTTAGGTAAAACTTATTTATGTTTTTATAACAATGTATATTTTTTTTTTTAACGACATGAGTGACTTATGATCGCCGCCAGCTGGAACACAATGAACTGTGAAAACTTCGCCAGCAGACGTTAAAAGTGAAAGTGGTAGCCAGTCCTAGTTTTTAATTTTCATGGAAGTACTGGTTGCTAGGATACAATGGCGGTAAAGCCTTCCGTTGACTTGTTACTGTTATGTGAGTTGTGGTCACTGGTCTACCGCGAGTATCCACAGCAGTGACCATTTGACTCTTTAACACGCAAAGAACTTATGATCGTATGTCACGGAATAGGTAAGCTTCCAAAAATCACGTATATGCGGGTGTGAGTACTTACTTATGATAACTGAGTATTGAGTCACTTCTTATTATTTATTAACAGGCATTCCCCCCGACACTTCGATAATTGATATAAGGTACAAGGTGGAAGAAAAGAAGAAGAAGAACAGGCATTTCGTAGAAGGCGTCTAATTAGTAGTTTCCCTTATACTTATAGTCAAAGTGCATCTATTCTAATTGGAAGGCATGAAACCAACAGTCTGCATCATTGGAACCTTTCCGTCTTTCCACTATGAGGAGGGATGAGACTCACAGCCCATGGCGATGGCGAGTATGACTAGCAAGACCCGCCCGTGTCAAGAAAAGTCTTCCACAATTATAGCATGGGATTTCGGGACCATTGTTAACAACATTTGTGTTTAATCTGTTTCTTTTCAGACGCTCAGCTCTCATCTCTGCAATAATTTCTTCCTTCAGTCTCATTCCCTTCCTGATATACACTTTCCACACAGCACGGTCCATGGCATTTTGTTCCCATGAGTCCGCCTCAATACCTGCCACTTAATGCCAAGTATTCTTCTTAGGCATTGCATGTGAAAGCTATTAAGCCATCTCTCCTGGTGCAAATAGGTTGACCAAGTTTCACTGCCATAAAGCAGAGTGCTGAGAACACAAGCCTGATAGACAAGGGTTTTTGTTTTAATTGTGATCTGTCTGTTCTCCCAATCTCTCTTTGTCAATCTGCTCATTGTTGTTGCTGCCTTACCTATCCTGATGTGGATTTTTTGGTCCAGTGATAGTTTATTATTCACTGTGTAACCCAGATAGGTAGAATGGTCTACTGTCTCAAGCTCTTCACCGTCAATGTAGACTGTAGGTCTGTCTTTGACACCTTGCACCATAACCTTTGTCTTCATTTTGCTGACAGTCCAAATTCATCAGCAAAGGCAGATAGTAAACATTGCAGCTCCTCCTCTGAGTGAGTGATTATTGTGGAATCATCTGCAAACAGCAGCTCTCTGATAAGTACCTTTCTTACCTGGTTTTGGCCTTTAGCCTGCGAGCATTGTAAAAGCTGCCGTCAGATTGAGAATGAATGAAAATACCACCCTCCTGATCTCGAAAGGCATGTGTCAAAAGAAGTGAAAAGTATATTCCAAAGAGGGTAAGAGCAAGTACACACCTCTGCTTCACTCCATTTTTGATTAAAAACTCCTTCGATGTTACATCATCAAAGTTGATTGTACCTTTCATACCTGTGTGGAACGACTCAATAATGCTCAGTAGAGTAGGTGGACACCCAATCTTCTTCAGTGCGTTGAACAGACCTTTTCGACCAACCAAATCAAATGCCTTGGTAAGATCAATAAAAGCAACATACATTGGTTGATTTTGTTCGCTGCATTTTTCCTGCAACTGTCGTCATGAAAATATCATATCAGTGGTAGATCTGTTCCCACGAAAGCCACTCTGGGTAAATGCGATCCGTCTGCATACAAATCAACAAAATCTCTAAAATGGATGTGCACGCAAAACCAGAGTGTACAGCAGATGAATGTTAAGAAGAAGAAGAAGAAGTAGTAGAAGAAGAAGAAAAGTAAGAATCTTGTTTTCATAGGAGATAATAAAACATGACTGCATATGCTTTTCAACATAAAGTCTGTTGAGTTTTAGATATTGTATTTACAGGTTCACTTTTCATTTCTTTTCTGTTTCTTGTCTTTTTTAATATAAAACTCGCATGGTTGGATAAATCACATTTGTTTGTGTCTCTATACCCACTCTGTGTGGATGTATAAATATTTCCAGGCCAGTTCCTGTTGAATGAACTTTGCCTTAAAGGAAATATAATATTAAAAAACTGCCTATATTCCTTTTTAGCACAGCTAAGTTAATTTATAATTTAAGGTATTTGGCTTTAATTCATGATTGTTATGCAAATTATCAGCAGGAGCAAAGTGAAAGGTAAATTTATGATCCGGTGCATGTCATTTATGTTGATCAGAGGCATCTATAACATGAAGAACAACTGAGTTACTAATAAAATATAAATATTCATTAACTGGTGTCTGTGCAGAAAAGAATAATTTAAATGGTATGATAGAATCACTAATGTGGAGTTTAGGGACAGAACTAAACAAATGCCAGTGAATCAAGAGGTGAGGAAAAGACACTGATATTTGATAGAACACAGACTAAAACCTGAGAACAGTATAACTAGAATGTCTTGGAACCAACAGGGGCATAGAAATAAAGGCAGACCAAACAGTACATAGAAAAGGGACCTAGAGAATGAAGATAAATAGGATAGGAAGGCCATTGGGTGAGCTGCATGCATTAGCAAAGGATATTATGACTTGATGTAACCTGGTTGAGGGTCTATGCTCCATTGGGGGAGAAATGGTGGAAAAGAAGAGGCACCCACGACGGCTTATCTACAACACTAACATTAGTGCTGTAAAGACAGCAGAAGAGAAAGATCAGCATAGCTGCAAGGAAATATTTAAGAGCACCATCAGGTCTGTTGGATTTCACACTATACTGGAGAAACCCAATGCTTGGGACTGTCAGCAAGATGTTTACAGATGGAAGAGCAAGACTTAAAATGATGCTGTTTGAATTCCCAGATTTAACTATCCATGACTTCATGCCTGATAGTGATGAAAAGTGTTAGTCAGAGGATGCAGGGCCATGGTGTGTAAGATATTTGTGAAGTGAAAGATATCCAGAGAGTCCAAAAGACTCCCGGCAGCGCCAGCAAGTCACCCCAAAAAAATCTGAGAACTCAAAGCCTGCATGTCTCCTCAGGGTCTAGGGGTTTGATTCCCTGGATATTTATAAATTTGCCCAAGACTCCAGATTTCTTCTGTTTCTTCTCTTCTTCTGGTTTCTTGGAGTAAAGTTTCAAAACATTGCAAGGATGTGTTTCAAAAATAAAATTGGATAAAATATTTTAAGATTCTTGTGGGGCAGAAGGGTTAAACGGAACTGCTTTTAAATATTTTTGTTTGCAGTCTATTAAATCTTAAATTTCTTGACAGAAATCAATTACTGTAAGGAATATAACTTGTGTAAAGTTTGCGTGAAGGATGACAACTCCCACCAAACTTGTTGGGGAGGCTGTACACATTACAGCCAGGCGTACCGAATCTCTCGATGCTCCACAGATATTAAGCTTGGAGCAACCATGGACTGAGAAGTTGTTTGGTAGAACCAATATTGTCAATATTATGTGAGTATTTTCAGTAAATACTTGTCATCTTGGTAGGTCAAAATTAATAGCGTGATCCTTTGCTGAGTAACTGTCCTTCTACTATGCATGTTCACGGGTTTGGGGACAGTTAAAGGCCTCTAGGTAAAGATGTCGCCTTTGTGTTAGTGGAGTAAGGATAGGGTTGGCCTTAGGGTTGGCTACCTCATCCTGTAAAAAAAAAAACAATAGCCCCACACATACACACACAAGCGCGCACACAAGCATGCACACATGCACACACATAATGCTCACACACACACACACACACACACACACAAACACAAGCACACACACACGTGCGCACACACACACACACACACACAACCAGGCAACCAAATAACAGACTTTCAACAACAACAAAAGTAATACCAAGCCAACCATGATGGGGAGGCTCTTTTAATAGAGTAATGATGGCATGGTGCATGAAAAGCGGAAAGGCATCTAGATCACTGACACACTCTCTGCCACCTATAATTAGTGTCTGGGATGTTAGAACTTTTGGAGAGTGAAGTTAAAAAGAGATGGTGAGGACGTAGGGTGAACCACATGCAATAGCAAAGAATAGGATGGCTTGATGTGAGTCCGTTGTGGGCTTATGGTCCAATGAGGAGATAAAAGGCACACAAAGAAGAAGAGAAGAAAAAGAAACAAAGAAGAAGAACAACAACAACAGCAAGAAAAAGAACAAAAACAAGATGTTAGAAATAAATCTGTTATGAATGATAAACAAAGTGATTAGTTGTTAATTTCTAAACAACTTGGTAGATTTTAAAAACTAACTGGATCTCTCAAGACAGCCCATCTCATGTTCAGAGACATGAAGATGATTGGCATGATAATTAATACCCATGATGTAGTTATTGGGTTTTTGTATGTGTGTGTATGTGTGTGTGGCCATGACATTAAACATTTATCTAAACTCAGATTTGGATGAATATCATGGAGTTGAATGGAGGCAGATGATATTTTCTATATATATTTTTCTTTTCAGGGTGTCATAGGCTGTAAACTGTGGTGGAAAGCTCTGTTTGTTTATCTACTTTTGGATTTTTATCCTCTTTAAGAGCTTGAGTATTGCATGCATATCCGTTTTACAGATCTGGTTTATTTGTATGCAGACTGCTGGTTCCTTGCCTATCAGGCAGATGCACTTTGACTTTAAAGGAAACATCCTTAAAGAGTCACCTTATAAACCGTACTTGTTATTGGTAGTGATTGTGTTCTGTTTTTTTTTTTCACGCAAAAAAGAGCCTCCAGAACCTGTATGGAGATCTTCAACTATTAATCTCAAGGGCTTGGAATGCTGAGGAAGAAGAAGATTAATTATTGTTTCTAACTAATACTTTAATTTTATTATCATTGCATCGCTCTATTCAGTGAACAAGCAGTCCTGGCAATAACACTGTGTGACAAATTTGAGGACATTTTGGGCAATGCTGCTTTTGTGGACTTCCCTAACATTCCTGACGTTGATCAGGCAGCCTGGGAGAGCTGGTACAATTCACGTTATGTTTCAGGGCAGGTATGTCAACATTCACATGCTTAGTAAGTAAAGTGATGATCCCATTTCATGCCTCAGGCGCATCTGTCATATTGGAAAGAGCACCCTTATGTTCTTACAGACCAATTGGCACTAGGTGGGTGATGTGGTCAGCATTACGCCGGCCGTCTTTACTATCCCAGGACATACATCCTGGCACCCATTTTAGGCTGGGTCGACCAGCGACGCCCCGCACCATGTTACAAATCCATGCAGCTAGCAGTGGGTTTTGATCACGGTACGTTTGAATTATGAGTTAGTAGTTAACTCATTATGAACCCATCAACTCACCATGCATTTATTGGTTACACAATACATGATAGTTTTTCTTTTAAAAACATTGTTACCCATCATCATCATATAGTGACACTTTACATCCCATAGAGCAGGGTTCTCAACTTGTGGGTCGCAACCCATTTGGAGTTCAAATGGCCCTTTCACAGGGATTACCAAAGACCATCGGAAAACATATATTCACTGAAGTTATGAAGTAGCAAATGAAACAGTTTTATGGTTGAGGGTTACCACAACATGAGGAACTGTATTTAAGGGTCCCGGCATTAGGAATGTTGAGAATCACTGCCATAGAGCATTCAGTTTTCTTGCATTGTGTTCTACCCTGTGCAGTTGTTTCAGTATCATGGGTGGAATCTTGACCAGCACCTTTAGCCTCTCTCACCAACTTATGTCTTTCATCATATTTTTTTTTTTTTTGGATGCTGTCCTCCAACTTTTACTAATTGTTACCCATTCTCTCTTCTGCCTTTCTATCCCGCAATGGAGCATAGGCCCTCAACCAACTCACGCCAAGTGGTTCTATCCTTCGCCATTACATAAAGCTCTTCCCATGTCCTCCCCATCTTTCTGACTTAATTCTCCAGCTCTCTTCTCCATGTGTTTTTTGGCCTTCCTTTTTTCCTATGCCCCTGGGGGTTCCAATGCAAAGACATTCTAGTTATGCTGTTCTCCTGTTTTCTCAGTGTGTGTCCTATCCAACGCCAGTGTCTTTTCCTCACCTCTTGGTCCACTGGAGCCTGTTTAGTTTTCTCCCAAAGCTCTACATTAGTTATGCTATCATAAAATTGAATTCCCTCTATTCTGCTCAGACACCACTAAATGAATGTCTGTAATTTATTAGTAATTGCCTTAGTTGTTCTCCATGTTTCCACCCCATACAAAAGTACTGATTTGACATTAGAATTAAAAAAATTTAGTTTTGACTTTCTTTTAATTTCTTTTGACCTCTACAATTTCCCTAGTGCTGTGAAAGCTCCTCTTGCCTTTGTATTCCTAATTGTTACCCATTCAGCTGGAATTTTAACCCAGGTTTTTTAAAATGTTAATTCAACTTATTTTGTCCCTTAATGTTGTTATTTTAACCATTCTAGATATCAATAACTGTTGAAAAAATGTAAATTTTTAGAAACCAGCAAGTTTAAATTATTCTCGCCCCTTATTGACAGAATGAAAGGGTTAAATAATTATCATTTCTTAAAAAGCAATTATCTATCAATTGATTTTGAGGCGTAAAGCATAACAAATGTTATTACCATTGAATTTCAATCATTTATAAATGCATAGATTTGAAGTAATTAACTCTTTGAGGACTTTTAGCCAGTAAACTGGCGTATGAATTTATCACTGTTGGACTGGTTGCCAGTCATAGAGAGACTATCATAGAGACAGTGTCATAGAGATGCTTTAATTTTGTTCCGTTTGTGGGGAAAATGACTGTTTATGAACAAGATTTTGAAAAATTAGGATTAATAACAGGAAGTTCTTTCATTTTTGATGTCCCGTGTGGCTTTTGCGGCACCTTCTGATTTAAAAAAAAATTATTTAGATGTGATACAATTTTCACATGATTTGTCTATACTAAATGACAATGGAAAAGGTCTAGAACTGTTTGTACTGATCTGTCGTTAATGAATCTCTGCCATATGGTGACAGTAGTCTTGATATTATGATTTATGTCTAAGTGACAAACCTGTTGGCGATAATTTAATTAGTTAGTTAGTTAGTTATTCCTCTTGTGCCAAAGATGGCGCATAGGGCAGAGGTCATAGCTTTCCACGTCTGTCGGTTTGTTGCCACTTGATGTAGGTCTTGAGTGCGACTGAGACCTATGGTTGAGCTCTCCCTTGTGATGGTTCTACGGAGAGTTTCTTTTGGTCTTCCCTGTTTTCTTTTACCCTCTTGTGACCATATGAAGGCTTGGTGGGGAAGTCTCTGTATGTCCATTCTGAGTACGTGACCGATGTAATTCCAGCGACGCATTCTAATAAAATCAGACACATATTTTTGTTTTGTTTCCTGTCTTATAGATGTATTGGACCTAAAGTCCGACCAGTGAACATTCAATAGCTTTCGGAGGCATCTATTCTCGAAAGCGACTAGTTTCTTATCGATTGATACTGATGATTTCCAACTCTCACAACCATAAGTTAGCACTGGGATCACACAGGAATTGACCTTAAGTTTCGTGTTGTTGCTGAGTGATCTTGACTTCCAAATGTTTGACAGTTTGTTAAAGGCACTTGATGCTAACGTGATTCGAGTCGTTATTTCTGATGTTGTATCTCCCGCAGAGGTTATCTTGCTCCCTAAGTATGTGAAGCTGGTGATTTTTTCAAGAAAAATATCCTTTAGTTTGATGTCTTTCGACTCGTTGGTAAGATCGATGATTTTCGTTTTGGCTGCGTTGACCTGAAGGCCGATTTGGCTTGAAATATTCTGGAGGCGGTCCATTTTTTCCTGAGCTTCTAGATGTGTTGTACTCAGGAGTGCTAGGTCGTCAGCAAAGTCAAGATCTTCGAGAACTTTGTCGACCCATTTGATGCCTAGATGTGTGTCCTGTGTGCATTTGCGCATGACCCAATCGAGTGCTATTCCGAAAAGCATCGGTGACAAGACACATCCTTGTTTCACGCCTGTTTCTAATAATTTAATTAAGGATATGTGGTCTTAATAATATTTTGTTTTAATACTGACTCTTTACTCTTTGAATCCCGGGGGGTTTATCATCACAGGCTTAAGGGGTAGTCAAGAAAGATGTAAAATCGGTGCATCTTGCCTTCATTGGGCTTCTAGGTAGGAATCTATGAACGTATAGCGCGTTCCTTGGGACTCAAAGAGTTAAATAGTTTCAAATTATTCTGCCCTCATTTATCTTTAATTGTATATATTATGTGCCGATACGTTTTCTTCAGGAAGGTTTTAGCTTTGCCATGTTTCAGTAAAATAATTATGCTCAAAATTAATGCTGTCCAAACCCAAGAGAAAATGAAGTCCTGAAAGAGTTAAGTTAATGTGACAAATTTTAAATGACATTAACAGTAAATACTTAGCTAATAGTTGTCTACACATTCTCAATTTTGCAGGTGAACTCCCTAAACAGCCTGTTCCTGCACTACTTTGTGGCCAAGAAGGTGTACGCTTTGGGCTGTGGCGTGGAAATTGTGAGAACTGCTTTCAATGCTGTTGCTGACCTACACTTTTTATTTCTTGTTGTCCCAAGTGGACATGAACTTGGTGAGAACATGCTGGATCTGTGTTTTTTGTGATGCATTTCTTGCATCAATTGTAAGCAAAAGTGAAAAGTAAAGGTCTCTTTTCCACACCCCTAGGCAAATAGGGCTAGACCTGTATTTTTATGGATCGATCGGCACAAGATGGGTGATGTGTACAGCATCACGCCGGAGACCTTTACTTTCCAGGACTGCATCCGGTACCCCTTCTAGACTGATGCGACCTGGTAGTCAAGGTCATTTTTGAAAAAAGTCCGCTCTGCCAGGAAGCAAACCCACGACCTTCCCGTCCAAAAATGAGTGTCTAGCCACTACGCCACAGCGACTCCTGCATCACTTGTAGCATATTGACAACTTTTGTAAGCAAATTTATCGCTGTGGTACTCGACAGGAAGAACATGTGAGAGAATAACAAATAGGGTATATAGTCTTATAGGAATCATTCAGTTGGTTTTGCTGTCTCCATGAAAAATAGATGCGTCACGGCTGGTTGTAATGGACCTCCAAAATGCTCTGTCTTTTATCTTTGACATACACTTTCTTTGACTGCTGCTGTTCATCCATCTCTTGATTTTATCCTCCCACTTGTGTTGCTATCAATCTCTTGCTCAATTAGTCTTGAGTTTTTCCCCACCGATATGGCATTTTTATGGCGTTGTATTTTTTTTTTTTTTTTTATATTGCTAAAACCTTGTACTTTTCTCCTTTTTCTCTTAAGCAGAGTTTCTTTTTCATTCATAGTCTGCTCAGAACCTCTTGATTCAATTGTTTGTGCTTCCTATATGAATGGTTGATTGTAAATCAGGTCTTCCTAGTGAAGTGGATGTGTTGTTTGCCTCACATTATAGGTGGTGTCAGTGGTTTATTTTCTGTAACACTCTGTTCTATAATCCAAATTAATTTTTTTTTTTCATTTCGGAGATTCCTGGTGATCATCACTGGCGGTCACTCTACCCATTAGGGACAGAGTCATGAATCATAAAATCCAGCATGATGAAGTAGCTACTGTAACCTTGAAATCTCTAAACTTCACATTTTGAGTTCTGTAGCCCTATTTTTTGTGTGTTAAAAAGAATAGACCCATGGCTATTGATGTTTTCTTCCTCTAAACTCTTTATGAACTATGTTGTCTTAATTGTCTTTCAGATCCATCACTTGCCCAGGCTTTCAAGCCGATGGAGATGAATGAGGAGAAGTTCAGTGACATACATATCCTGTATGTGTGCAGGCGCCATGAACATGTGCCAGTACTTCACATCAGACAAGCTTTGTAAGTGACCATGGTCGTATTTTGGCATTGTGCAACGTGTGCAGCTGCATATGGCAGCAACATCTTTGGGGCGGCAAAATGTTTGTAGGTGGCAAAATGTAACTTCTTCTTCTTCTTTCGTTTGCTTGAAATAGATTATTTATACTACCGACGGTCAACCTATGGATCATGCTGATATTATTAATGTCCTCAGAGAAATGGGAAGGCTAGAGGACTTTGGGGGCAGTGAATCTACATCACTCGCTAGAATGGCAGACTTGGGAATTAAGATCGGCATAGCAAGAAAAGAGACGCACAGCAGACACACTAAAAGACTTGTTAATCAACATAGAACTGGTACTATTAGCCATCGGACATTGGGGCTGATACTAAGAGGAGGATCTGAGCACCTTTGGACATGTCCGGAGTGCAATGATGATAACTCAACTAACTAACTAACTAGATTATCTATATCTGCAGTGTTGTCTCTATTATGAACTTCACTGTCTGTTGTAGTTCACTCAGCCACCCCTAAAGTTTGGCTTGCACCAGCATTTTTCTTATCAAAAAGTGTTAACTTGATGTGTTGTATTTGGGACAACCTTGGAGAAGGTAATATATTGTCTTAGGTGCCAATCCACATTTTCACATGGCTGATTCGTCAATTTTAAATGTTGTATACATGTGGCTGCGAAGTCGATTGTGTGACTAACGTGTAGGAAAATATTTATATTCTCATTACTTTTATCATTATGAAACCTGCATTTGATTAGCATTCAGCATTAAAATAGTGGTGCTGAAGATTTGCTGAGGGAAGAAGGAGTTTAAAATAAATAACCGCACAGGGGCATCAAATATGATACATACGGCCCTATAATAAACATTAGTTACACCTTAGGTACTTTCAGATATTCTCTAAATTGTGTTTTGTTTCTCTCTCTATATATATTTATTTGGGAGGCACAGGGGCTCAGTGGCTAAAAGCTTGCTTGCCTTCCCAGACAAGCTAGGGTTTCAGGTCGACCCCACCTAAAATAGGTATCAGAGTATGTTCTTTAAAGTATGGTAGACCGTTGTGATCTTGACCACATGATCCATTGAGAGGATCGGCTGACTGAATGGTTAGGAATGCTTGACTGTCATGTGGCTGTCCCAGGTTTAAATTCTCAGTAAGGTTGTGGATATTGTCTGTCGAAGAAAATATGAAATTTTTACCTGTCCATGGCAAGTACGTTAGTTATGAAGCCTTATTAAATTATAAGATTAATTCTTTGAGTCCCAAGGAATGCATCATACGTTCATAGGTTACTGCCTAGAAGCTCAATGAACGCATAATGTGCCGATTCTACGTCTCTCTTGACTACCCCTTGGGCCTGTGATGCTAAACCCTTTGGGACTGAAAGAGTTAAAGGACCCCTCACCTGCCCCACCCCCTTTTTTTCTTTGCTAACCTGCAAAAGAGTTCAATACAGGCAGTAATAACAGTTGTTTACAGATGACCATTTGATGGGTGTTGGTCTGTACAGATATGGGTTGGAACTATACATATAATAGTTCTTTTTCTTCTTCGGCGTTCCGAGCCCTTGAGGTTCGTTGCTGCAGATATCACCCGCTTTCACTCATCACTCTGGTAGGCTATCTCTTTCCAGTTGGTGACGCTAAGTGTTTGCAGGTCTGTCTGGATATTATCTCTCCATCGTCTTCTTGGTCTGCCTCGTGGTCTACAACCATTCAGCTGCCTTATGTATACAGTTTTTACCTCTCTGTCATTTGACATATAATAATTCTGGATTTTTAAAATGATGCATTTATATTCTGCAGTAAACATAATTTCCACCTATTGATGTCATTATGATCTGTGAACATGTTAGAGAAGGAATGGCCTTGAGAACTTAGTAACAACTGGGAAGAATAATGGAAAGCCTGAGAGCATCCTGATAGGTGTCGTCATTGAAGACGTTCTTATGTTTCTCTAGTTCCTGGCAGCCTCTAAAAACTGTTGTGTGGAGTTTTCACAAACATGAACTCTTTTGATTTCTGGCAACTGGATTTAACTCATTTTATTCAAAATTGTTGATACTTTAAAAGAATACATATTGAGTCTAAAAATTGTTAACAAAACACTGACGCAGAAGAACTTCTTCTTCTTCTTGTGTTTGATATTTTGATTTACACTGACAGACAAGTTCTTGTGATGAACTTGACTAATTTTAGTAGTTCCCTTTTAGTTGCATACAACTCACAATGAGTGCCTTTGCCGGTCAAGTTAGTGGTAGTTTTCTCTGATAAACTGGATGGTCCTTTTAGACTGGATGGCCCTTTTTGACTAAATGGCCCTTTTAGACTAGATAGCCCTTTTAGACTGGATAGCCCTTTTAGACTAGATGACCCTTTTACTGGGTTTCCCTTTTAGACTGAATGGCCTTTTTTGACTGGATGGCCCTTTTAGACTGGATGGCCCTTTTAGACTGGATAGCCCTTTTAGACTGGATGACCTTTTTAGACTGGGTTTCCCTTTTAGACTGAATAGCCCTTTTTGACTGGATGGCCATTTTAGACTGGATGGCCCTTTTAGACTAAATAGCCCTTTTAGACTGGATGGCCCTTTTAGACTGGATAGCCCTTTTAGACTGGATAGCCCTTTTAGACTGGATGGCCCTTTTAGTCTGGATAGCCCTTTTAGACTGGATAGCCCTTTTAGACTGGATAGCCTTTTTAGACTGGATAGCTCTTTTAGACTGGATGGCCCTTTTAGACTGGATGGCCTTTTTAGACTGGATGGCCCTTTCAGACTGGATGGCCCTTTCAGACTGGATGGCCCTTTTAGACTGGATAGCTCTTTTAGACTGGATGGTCCTTTTCTTGTCACAGAAGAACTCATAGTTACAATGATAGATAATGTGGTCAGCCTAACACTAGCCACCTTTACTGCCCTGGGAATTTTAGACTGGGTTGACCTGAAAGCTTTCGGTCAAATATACAATTGTATGCAATTTTTAACCCAACCTTGGGTGGCGAAGCAAGTATCTGGTTCTGAGCTTCATATGGAAAACAAAGAATAGACCCACTGCCCCTCTGCCCCCCCCCCACCCCCCTAACAAGCATGTCATAAGAGGTGATCAATTAGTGATGTTTCCTTCAAAGTCTGAGTGTATCTGCATGAGAGGCAAGGAACCAATAGTCTGCTGACAAATAAGTCAGATCTGTTAAATGGATGTGCATGCAAAACTCAAGTTCTGGATCATGACTTTATTGCTGGTGAACATAAAGAAGAAGAAGTAGTTTCATCGTCATGTGGCAGGTCCTGCGCAGAACTCACTCTTATCACGGTCTGCCGGAAAGAAACTCGGTCTCTCACCAGCTTTCCTGCCTCATGTACTTTCATACTCAAGGAGTCACCTATATCCTGTGCCCATCTTCGTGTCGGTCAGCCTCTGCCCCTCCTTCCTGGTACCATGCCTTCTGCTATTATTTTATCCAATCCGTCGTTGCGCTTGATATGACCAAATTATTTCAGCTTCCGAGACAGGATGCTGTTTATTAGCCAATCTTCCTTGATGTTCAGATATTTTAAGATGTCAGTATTTCTCCTCTTATCTGTTCAAGATATTCTGAGAATCTTTCTATAGCATTTCAACTCAAAAGCACCTAGTCTCTTTCTTAAGGACTGCGAGATAGTCCACGACTCACATCCGTATGTTGCTACAGGGAAGATGCATGCTTTCAAAATTCTAATTTTGATCTCCTTGCTGGTGCTTAACCATAGGCTTTAAATTCTGTTTAAGAAGCAGTTTACTCTGTAAAAATAGATTTGTGAATGGGTCATTCTAAAAGTCACCTTGCTCTTTTTTTTTCTTTTCTTCCAGCGTGGAGGATCATGATGATCTGACCCCTATTTTCAACAGACAGAGCACTATGCTACAGGACACCTATGGAGATTACTTTCTTGCAGAGTTGATTGAGGCTCAGGATGCAGATATGCAGTGTCTTGTTGCTGAGGTATTAGGCTCATACATTCAGCATTCTTGGAAAAGATAATGATGGAGGGTGCAGTTTGTGGAAGGCAAGGCAGGGGTTGACCACTGGGAAGATGGATACAAGACATTAAAAATGCATTGCCATTAAAAGCACATGAGGCCGGAGAGCTGGCTAGGGAAAGGGATATTTTCAGGCGTGCCGTGAAGAGAGCAACATTCTGTAAAGGACTTGCTGGTTGATGATAATGATTCAGCATTCTGCCCTTGAAGCTGATTGCATTTATCACCCGCTAACTCCTGTTTGTATTTTGGCCTTCTCTTTCAACTTGGTTAACTTTGTTTGCAGGTCTGCTTGCATATTATCTTTCAGCCGTCTTCTTAGTTTAGCTCATGGTCTACTCCCATTCAACTCTTTTGTGTACACTGTTTTTGTCATAAATAGAGGAGCTGTTGCCCGAATATGTTCGGAATGACGGGTTCAAGTCCATGGTATGGTTGGGGATTTTTTTAAATATAGCAACCAAAACTAGCCATGCATCCTAAATCTTCAGGCTGAAAGACACCCCTGCTTACACTGCAAAAGTGGTAAATACAGGCAGTAATGGCAGTTTTCTGTGATTCTGTCTATATGACCCAGCCAGTGTGTAGTCTATATGCCCCAGCCAGTGTGTAGTCTATATGCTCCAGCCAGTGTGTTTTCTATATGCCCCAGCCAGTGTGTAGTCTATATGCTCCAGCCACTGTGTAGTCTATATGCCCCAGCCAGTGTGTATTCTATATGCTCCAGCCAGTGTGTAGTCTATATGCTCCAGCCACTGTGTAGTCTATATGCCCCAGCCAGTGTGTAGTCTATATGCTCCAGCCACTGTGTAGTCTATATGCCCCAGCCAGTGTGTAGTCTATATGCCCCAACCAATGTGTATTCTGTATGACCCAGTCAGTGTGTAGTCTATATGACTCAGCCAGTGTGGAGTCTAAATGCCCCAACCAATGTGCAGTCTGTTTGACCCAGCCAGTGTGTAGTCTATATGACCCGGACAGTGTGTTGTGTATATGACCCAACCAGTGTGTAGTCTGTATGACCCAACCAGTGTGTAGTTTATATGACCCAGCCAGTGTGTAGTTTATATGACCCAGCCAGTGTGTTGTCTATATGACCCAGCCAGTGTGTTGTCTATATGACCCAGCCAGTGTGTTGTCTATATGCCCCAATCAGTGTGTAGTCTATATGCCCCAACCAATGTGTAGTTTATATGCCCTAGCCAGTGCAGACTATTAGCCTCCATGATGCCATTAATTAGCTTCTTACTTTCCATTCTCTGCTGTTTGCATCTGTGGTGGGTCCTAAGATTAGTCATAAGTTTATAATAAAGCTTTATCTGTTTCAGTTGTACTCCAAGATTTTATCACAGTGACAGAGCCGTTACTTTGCCCTAACAATCAAAACTGTTAACATAGAAGATACTGGCTTAGGAGCTGTTTTGCGAATATCTGTCTATAAGATGTTCACGGAAACATTCTGGTAGTGCCCTCCCTATCTCTATAAAATATGCTTTGTTGTATTGTTTCGTCAGTGGAGGTAAAAATAGTCTGCAAGTATATAAAGAAGAACCGGTCACACATCATACAATGCTTGGAATTTAGATAGCTCTGTAAAAAATAAAACAGAAATATTGGTAAACCTTATTAGACACAAAAATGGCAACCCGTCCAAACAAATATTTTAAACTTTTGCCCCATATATGATCTTCGACCTTTGGGGGTTCATAGCAAAAGCAAATGGATGTCACTTAGTGTAACAAAGCCTGGCATATAGTATCAAAACATCTAGTTTGAGAATGGAAGTAGAGGCAGTCACTGCTGCCTTCCACTGGATTGAAAATCATCTGTACAAACATGTCGTAATTGTAACTGACTCACAGAGTATGTTTAGAAAAGTAGCATTCTCTGAGCAGATTTGCAAGCATCACTTTTGAGGTTTCGGATAATTAGCGTCCTTTAGATATTTTCTCCAGGTGATACTAGTGTGTTGGGAAATGAGCAGACAGATAGATTGGCAGCTATTGCACCACTTGGTGGTGAATTGATGTATGACAAACTAGATGTTATAAGTGCCCTTTGGTAGCGAGTGAACAGTGTAGAGGCACAAATAGATCAATACGGTCTGAGGAAAACGGTACTGTGGGGAGTTAACCAGGGAATCTGGCCAACACTCAAGAGAAAGGCAAAACAGACATACAATCAGACAGTTACTGGTACCATTGGAATCAGAATTTTTGGCTTGCTGCTGAAGATGAGGATGTAGCGCTTACGGAAGTGTCTTGAATGCTATGATGTAGATTCTGAATTCAGTATTGAACACTGACTTGACTTTTTCTTGATTTTATTTCTTTATCAGGTGGAAAAAACATCATACGGTTTTATGAGTATCAGCACAGATGTCAACCTGAATCTTTTGAATGAATGCTTTGAGTTGATCCCCTTTCATGGTTTACGCAAACCCCACCCAGATGATGATTTTATTCCACCTCCAACACCTCCACCTTCAAGTTCTGCCTCAGATGCAGGTAGGTGTCCTTTATAAAATCAAGACTGCTTCTGAACTCTTTCGTAACTCTTTCGTTCTTGGATAGTTGCTATTTCAATACCTTCTGTCCTTACGCTTTTATACCTTAGAATCTAGACTAGTCTTTAGTAAGTACAGATCGACATGTGATGTGTTCCTTGAAACCAAAAGAGCTAAATTAGCCAAATTTATTCATAACATTACAACTCCTTCGTAACATCACAACTCCTTCATAACATCAAAACTCCCTGGTATTATCAAAAACCTTTTATCAGCAAGGTTTCTTCATGACATCAAAACTCCTTCATAACATCAAAAAGTAACTGCATATTTGACGAATGGATCTGAATTTGGATTGAAAATGCTGTCTGGAAAATGATGTGAATATTTTTAAGGAAAATGATTTTTTATTGTCTTCTTCGCTTCTCCTCCTCCGTCACCTCCTTTTTCTTCTTTATCATCTTCTTTTTCTTCTTCTTCTCCTTCTGCTTCATGTTGTTGTTGTTGTTCTTCTTCTTCTTCTTTTTTCTTCTTCTTCTTTTTCTTTACTTGTTCTTCTTTTTCTTCTTCTTCGTCTTCTTTTCTTCTTCATCATTTGCCCTTCATCTTTCAATGAAGGCTCACAATAAGCCATTTGTGGGCTTGTTCATAATTTGCTGAATTGCTCAGCTAAGACTTTCCACTTTCTCACCTCACCCCCACCGTTCTTAGTTGCCAGACTTCTTTTTCTTCTTCTTTTTTCTTCTTCTTCCTCTTCTTCTTCCTTTTCTTCTTTTTCTTTACTTTTTCTTCTTTTTCTTCTTCTTCGTCTTCTTTTCTTCTTCATCATTTGCCCTTCATCTTTCAATGAAGGCTCACAATAAGCCATTTGTGGGCTTGTTCATAATTTGCTGAATTGCTCAGCTAAGACTTTTCACTTTCTCACCTCACCCCCACCGTTCTTAGTTGCCTGTTATGACATGCATGTTAGGTTGCATATTACTACTCTTTGCTTTCTTATAAGCTTCATTAAAACAGATAATTTTATTGTTGTTTATTATTACAATGTATAAAATTGTATTGTTGTTTCTTATTACAATGTATAACATTTTATTGTTGTTTATTATTACAATGTATAAAATTGTATTGTTGTTTCTTATTACAATGTATAACATTTTATTGTTGTTTATTATTACAATGTATAAAATTTTATTGTTTTTTATTATCACAATGTATAAAATTGTATTGTTGTTTATTATTACAATGTATATATTTTAAGGTTCTGATCAACAAAAAGAAGAACAAACTACCGATCTGTCTGGCTTGGCCACAGAGCCTGCGGAGGCAGCAGTGGTGCCATCACCGATGGAAGAAGCTCTGCAGGAGGGCAGTCTCAAAGAAAGTTTCAAAGCCAGTCTTAAAAGATGTAAATTCAACTTTATAGACACTATATCTGTTTGTCTGCCGACCTGCCTGTCTGTTTATCTGTCTATATGTAGCGATTTGTGGCGAAATTATACTAATGTTAGAATCCCCTACATAAGGACAGGTCAACATTCATCAAAAGTTTTGCCAATATAGCGAAGCAATATCTAAAAGGATGGCCCCAAGAAAGGGTGACTGGAGTGCTGCTACCCAGCAAGAGACATGTTGTGAAGAATACCCTGTATGAAGGCAGGGCGCCCCAGAGAGCAATGTTATACAGATGCAGAGCCATAAGTCGACCATGCAGAAGATGGATAGCAGAAATATCAAAGACACTGAAAAGAACTAGAAGTGAACAAAGCAAACACAAGGGCCTGCTCCAAAGATCTCTTCCTGCCTTGATGCTGCGAGGCATTCCAGAATTAGAGAAGAGAAAAAGAAGAAGAAGAAGAAGAAGGCAGACTTAAGAGTTTGTTTGAGGGGTGTGGTCTCGTGGCGTGGTGTCCACCTCGAGTGCTAGAGGTTCTGTGTTCAATCCCTGGTAAGGGCTGGAATTTTTCACGAGGACTTGGACTTCTGGTGAATTCTCCCTGGTCTCTGGGTAGTGAGATCGGGCACCCGTGTGTATTTTTGCGCACGTGAAAATCCCCTGGCAGTTGGCAGTCAAAAAGAGTAGCCTAACGGCTTTGCCCGGGCAAAATTTGGAGTTAAAAATCTACACAAAGTATTTTCAGGATCCTCGTTGGTGCTACAGAGCCTGTTCACTGTGCTGAGATTGTTCGGACTCGAACTTGAGTTCGAAGAAAAACGGAGCACTTATGGGTTACTACCCGTGTGCCATGATGTTGATCCTTTGTTCAAACCTCAGATCTCATAAGTATGGTTCAGGTAGCCTAAAAGTCATTCATCTTCATTCATCTCCCAGCCTGTAGTAGTCTTGTTATTAGAGTAAATCTTGAGATGAGTACATCTGTGGCACATGATGATAATGATGCCTTGCCAGCTGGTGTAAGCATTCATGCATCTCCACAGATCTCCATCTTTGATGTTCTGAATCAATTCCACTGATGATATTCCTTCATGCTACTGTCTTAACTCTTTAAGTCCCAGGGGGTTTAGCATCAGAGACCCAAGGGGTGGTAATGCAATTTTTTTTAAATTTCACAAGTGTAACACATTAAAACTGACCATACTAATTCAATTTCCGTGCAACATACACATATACATCAAAGTGACCAGGGATTGTTGAGGAATAATTATAGAATGCAGCTACAACAAATAATTGCGTTAGTAATTAAATATTAGGAAATAAACAGACAGTATGTTTAAAAAAATTGGTGAAATGAAATTTAAAAATTGTCACTTACCACCATGGTGCTCAACTAAAACTGGTTAAAATGTATCCAAGAATCACAAATGAATAGGAACCACTTAGTTATTGTATAAGTCAAATATAAAGTCAATCTATACATTAGATTGTGTTTCATAGAATCTTTTGAAGCATCATAACAGAGCCCTATTATTTGGTAAAGAAATTTGACTCCCAAAACAATAAGTATCTTCACACAAAATGAAGTTTATATAACACTCAATTTGCCTGTAACTTTGTAGCTATGTACCTAAATAATGAGGGGAAAAGCACTAGAACTAATTGACATTGAAGAAAATCGTCTATTCACTAATGTTTATTCTATTTGTGCCAGCTGACTTTGCTATTGTTGTACATTTCATGTGAGGTACACATTAGTCATATTCCTCATCAAAGTTTGACTCTATAAATGACTGAAACACTTCTAATTCGCAACGTTATCTATCTAACTTCAGATAGATCTAAAAAAAAATATACTTTATTGAAATTTGGGGTTTCTAAAGACGTAAATCATGTTGGCATGCACGTAGAATACTGCTTGGCGACCATATTCTTTTAAAACACATAGCAACTTGGCGAATCATGCAAAAATACTATATTTTTGACTTTCAAACCACATTTCTAAATGAGCACGCCTGATAACAGACACAAAGAACTCAAAAGGAAGTTGAAATTGAGTGGTCCGCGTTTTATAGCCGGTCAGTTGTAGATTAGAAACCTTCAGTTGCTGTGTGTCAATTGGACCACGTGGTTGTAACAAATTAGTGCATGATGCGTTCTCTGGGACTCAAAGAGTTAAGCCTCTGCCTCTTCTACCAGTGATCTTCTCAGTCGCTACAAGATTTTCCAGTGATACTTTTCTCATCTCATAACCAAAGAACCTTCTTTGTCTCCTTCTCATTGTTGTATATAATGTTCTACTTTTATTAGCCATTTCCAGGCAGTCATGATGATGCTAGTGTAAAATAATGTTATGGTGACTTCTGTTGTGGTTGTTATCCTGGCATAAACCATACAACTTTCTCATTTCTGTCTCTCATGTTTTTTTCTCATGAGGACTAACAAACCCTATTATTTCCAAGACCTTCTGCCGGTGAGGGTTTACACTCCGTCCATAAAATATTTAGGGAGATCAAATCTCTCTTTGCAGACACATCCTATCTATAATAACAGATAATGTATACACAAAGTTACAGTTACAGATAACTCTAGTCCTCTTCGCTTTGACACATTTCACCTATGATGTCATTATGGAAAGTGTGTATGGTTTGCCTCCAATCTCTTCTGTGGTTTGCCTTCAGTCTTCTCTACGGTTTGCCTCTAATATCTACTGTGGTTTGCCACCAGTCTCTTCAATGGTTTGCCTCCAATCTCTTTTGTGGTTTGCCTCCAATCTTTTCTGTGGTTTGTATCCTATCTCTTGCGGTTTGCCTCCAATCTCTTTTGTGGTTTGCCTCCAATCTCTTCTGTGGTTTGTCTCCTATCTCTCTTGCGGTTTGCCTCCAATCTCTTTTGTGGTTTGCTTCTAATCTCATCTAAGGTTTGCCTCCTGTACGACAGCCTAAGAGCAACAGTTACTAAACCGCCACACAACAGAAGTTGAGCCCTAGTGTGTCCGGACCTAGGGAGCCACCATGGTGTAGCGGCTAGTCATTTGCCTGTGGATGGAAAAGTCATGGATTCAGGTCCTGGGGAAACCAGACTTTTTTTTTTCAAAAATGACCTTGGCTGCCAGGTCGACTCTGCCTTGAGGGGGTACCAGGTACAGTCCTGGGAAGTAAAGCTGGCCAGCATGATGCTGACCACATCACACACCCAGTGCCGATTGGTCTATAAAATATAGGTCTAACCCTATATACCCAATATGCTAGAAGCCACAACGAGAAGCAAGGATTTATTTGGCTCAACCTTGTGTCCCAGCCATAGAGACTGTTGGACTGTTTATATACACAGTTTTGTATTGCTTTAGTAAAAGTCAATGATAACGGCTGAATCATAGAAGAGAAATTTGCAATATCTCTCTGAGTTGTCCTCACTATCCTAGGAACAAAAGAGGTCTGTTGTTGTCGTCCTGTGACTACAATGACCTCCAACTTGGGAGTCAGTATTCTGAATAGCTCCGCCAGTTGGATCTTTTAACTGTAACCCCTTTTGGACTGTTAATCTGTGCTCCTCCTCCGCCTCCTGACACATATGTATATGCACATATGTAAACAGACATATACTTAGTGTGGCTCCAATCTCTTAACATGGTGGGCTTTCTATACTACAGCACTAATGCCATGAGAACTGTATTTTCTAAACCGCCACACCACAGAAGTTGAATCCTAGGATTTCAAGAATATAATATTTATATGTATGTATGTAAAAAAACATATACATTCACACTTGTTCTTCTCATTGTTCTTCTTCTGTAAAGTTTCATCAGATAGTATTAAAAGAGATCAAAGGCTAGCAGATGGCGGAAGCCAGTACACAATAACTGAGACCCCCAACCCTGAATTACAGGATCAGATTGAGATTGCAGGAAGTCCAACTAATGAGGTCAGCACTTGGTATTATTAGAAAATTTACCTGAGATTAAAACCTGTCATTATTGAAAATCTTCTTTATCTTCTTCTACTGCTTCTTCTTCTTCTTTTTCTTCTTCTGCTGCTTCCTCTTCTTCTCCTCCTCCTCTTTCTTCTTCTCCTCCATCTCCTTCTCTGTCCCTGCTTCTTCTTTTCTCTTCTTTTCCAACTCTTGCTGCCCTTGCTACTGCCTCAGTTGCTGCTGCGTCTTCTTCTTCTTCATCATCATCATTATCTTCTTCATTTTCTTCTTCTTCTTTTGTTAGCCCTTCAAACTGGGCTCTCAGCAACCACGCAAATAATTAATTAAATATTAAATTTAAACAGTTACAACACTGAGCTGAGACACTATCAACAGTTAGGTAGTGAAAAAAAAAAATACTTGAAAGGAAAGAAAGAATTATGAAGATGAATTTTAGCCATAGCAATTCAGTGGCTAGACTTGCCTTCCGGCCCAAAGTTCTTGTGTTCAAATCCACACTAGGACAAATTATTTTATAATTGACATGTGCTCCCAGTTTGACCCAGTCTAAACTAGGTAACAGAAAAGGACCTAATTGAACGGTAGCTAGCATAATGTTGATTACATAACCCACTGAGTGCTAGTCAGTTTATAAATATAGGAAGTGCTAGGAGTCTATAGCACAGTATCTGCAAAGAGCTTGGCTTTCACTGGCTGAGGGACTGCACCCCTTTTGTGATATGAAAGGTAGTAGAAGAATATATTAGACTGACCAACTACTATACCCCTATACAATTTACTAAGATGGACCAAGCTTCTTTAAGTATACTGGGTGCTTTATTAATATCCTACCCCAAATAGGGGAAATCCACAGGTCACGGGACAGTCTAATATTTCAAGGGGGGGTAGATAGGCTGCATGCAGTCGTGGGTCCTAGGGTGCATGCAGTTGGGGGACCTAGGCTGCACTCTCTGATGGGGCGTAGGTGGGTTAGGGTTAGGGCCAGTTCTAGATGTTTTGGGGTTGTTAAAGCATCAGAAAGCCAGGAAACCCAGTCCTGCCACCCTCTGAAATGTACTATCCTGCGACATCATCTGGGGTAGGATATTAATAAAGAACTGCATACCGGAGTGTTATGTCGACTCATTCATATTAACCAATAAAGGACCCACTATGTTACTATTACATGGCAATATTTTGGCAATTCTTTAACTTCTGCTGGCGAGGTTTACACTGTGACTTCAGACATTGTGGTTTGTTAATTCCAGTGGAAATGATCTTTTTTTTTTTCCTTCACTGTAAATGGTGATTTAACTTGGTAATACAGGAATACAAGATACAGGAAAATGGGCCAGGCATACAATTGTGTAATTCATTGTTTGTGTCCATGTGATGAAACATCTTCATGGGCAATGACAACAGTTCACGGAAGCCAGCTTCGGTTTAGAGGTATGTGAGAAAAGAGATCCAAGTGACAGTGAGGGGCAAAATTCACAACCAGACAATGTGCCATGATCTTGAAACCCAGGCCTTACAAACTCCAGTGGATCAGTCAGGGTTACAATTGTTTGGACATGTATGCAGAATGGGAGAGAACTGGACATTATAGCTTGCATAGGAGGCCTTGAACATGACCTCTGGATATCCCAGGGTTTGCTTGGAAAACAATATCCAACAGCCTCTGACTGCAGAGGGCTGGAATTAAACAAAGCCACACACACAACACATTTGCTGATAGAGAAGGAAACAAACCTCTCCAGCCCAGTTCAGAAAAGAATTGACTAAGTAAGTATTATTCAAATATGTTACTGTCATGAGTCAAGTTTACCACACAGTGTGAGAGACAGGTAAACAACAACCAGACTTTGACTCACAACAGCAGACAGGACAATTACTGGTCAGACAGGTTTTGTGTAGACAAGACAGGTTGTGTGTAGACAAGACAGGTTGTGTGTAGACAAGACAGGTTGTGTGTAGACAAGACAGGTTGTGTGTAGACAAGACAGGCTGTGTGTAGACAAGACAGGTTGTGTGTAGACAAGACAGGTTGTGTGTAGACAAGACAGGTTGTGTGTAGACAAGACAGGTTGTGTGTAGACAAGACAGGTAGGGGTATTAGGGTAACTGGGTGTTGTGGGTGATAAGATTTCACAAGGGGGGTCTGACAAAGGGGTAGACCAATACATGGCAGTTGGTAGTTTGGCAGTCCCGTGGACAAAAGTGTCTGATTGGTATCCTTCAAATGTAAGAATTGTTTTCCTTTGGCCTGAACTCAATCTTAAACTGTAGGGAGGACAGTGGTAGTTGTTAGTACTTGTGACAAGTGTTCCGTTCGAATAGCCGGAATTATAAAGTTAGTTGTGGTAGCCAGGATGATGTTTTAACTACTATTCCAGACGCATCTGCTAGTCTTCCATGATTTGATTCTTACTGCTGTATGATTGAAAACAACTATACCAGATACTGTTGATATACTTAGCCAGTGATTACCTGGGTTTAGTGTGTTTGTGAGCTATGAGAATAAATGGGTTTCTACTTAGTAGCTGATAACTTTATGGGGAAGCCAGACTAACTCTGCAATTATTGTGAGTACTTAAATTAACATTTATGAGAAGGTGAAACATGTTAATCAATGTTTTTCATGTTAACAAAAGTGCATGCTTACTAACAACAAGTAACAACTGTACCTCTGTCTGACAGTTACTACTGCCTGAGGTAATTGAATATGAATTGGTAAATATAAGGTAAATAAATCAGATAAATATATGAACAGTTACTCGTATCAACAGTTATAAGATAAATAAGATAGAAATACAGTGAGCACATTCTGAAAAAAAAAGTGAGCAAAAGATCACTAAATATGCACATAAATATGAAGCAAATGCACACAGTGTAGACTAGTAAAAGTAAGAAAGCTTAAGAGAAACCTTACAACTCAAGTTCCTGAGAGAAACCAGAGGTGCCAGATTAGGTGTGAAACAAATTGTATTCATTGTAATCCTCATGTGATGTATACTGGCACAATGGGATAGTGAACCAATACTGAATTTTATCAGTAGACAGCAGATCAAATGGTTGGCCAGTAACAGAACTAGAGGTAGACAAGGAAGAAAATGAACTCCAGAAACATCGGAGACACTATACATAAAAGTGAATAGGAGGGCTGCTTTTTGTTATAACCTGTTGCTGTGAAACGTTCCAAGACTATATAGAGAAGAAAAAGAAGGTATCATGAATGAAGGAATCAGTGAATATTATAATGGTTACTTGTCATATTAATCCTAGCTGGTGCTACAGAACCTGTGCATGTGCTGAGCTTCTTCGGACTCAGACTTGAGTTAAAAGAAGAACAGAGCACTTATGGGTTACTACCCATGTGCCATGATGTTGATCCATTGTTCGAACCTCAAACTTGTCCTATTAAAATGCTTTGAAAGATTTGTTTATTTTGACTGAGACCTTGTACTGCCTAGAGTATCCGACCAGCCGCTGTCATTCCAAAGGGGTTGGCTCCACCAACCTATAGCAGATTTGTGCCAACCTTCTGTGGAGCTCCCAATGCTTTCAGCATTCAGCTGTTTTGTATTGCTGAACAGTACGAGATGAGGTAGAGTGGGTTTCTTTTAATAAATGTTCTTGTCACATGTGGTGTGAGTTATTTTTCTCTATCTTTTCATCTTTCTGTCTGTCTGCCTCTTTGTGATCTCTTTTTCCCCTGACTCCACTCCCAGTCTCTCCCCTCTCTCTCTCTGTCTCTCTGTTTCTTCTTCTACTTCTTCTTTCTCTGCTTCTTCTTATTATTATTATTTTTCTTCTTCTCCTCCTCCTTCTTCTTCTTCTTCCTTCTTCTGCTTCTTCTTCTTCTTTCTTCATCTGAGTAACATAAATGCATTGTGCCTGTTTGTAACATAGCTGCAATATTTGCATCTTTAGGCAGACACATCTGACTTCTTCAAGCATTTGTTATCCAGGTTAGCCTTCCCAGTCTGTGTTTCTGTCTGTCCCTCTCTGTTCCAATCTTGGTATCTCCTTCAACACCCGAGGTGGTAAAAGAGGAAAGGAAGAAGAAGAAGACATTTGTAATATATTAATTATATCTACATTTAACCAAAGAGTAACAGTAAACAAACCTAGAACTGGTGTTATCTGTCAACACACTTTGAGGGCAATGCTGAAGATGAGATCCAAGCACTTATGGATATGTCCGATGTGTGATAAGAATGATTGGTTGATTGACTAACTATACTTAAAACTTGTAATTCTATAATATGTTATAATTAACACTGAAAATGTGCAATACATTAGAGGAACATAAATATCAGTTATCAGAAAAGACAGGAACTCTATATATATATATATATATATATATATATATATATATATATATATATATATATATATATATATATATATATATATATAGAGTTCCTGTCTTTTCTGATAACTGAGTTTTCTGATAACTGATAAGTGTTGAGTGATTACCAGGTGCAGTCCTGGGAAGTAAAGGCAGCCGGCGTGATACTGACCACATCACCCAGCTTGTGCCAATTGGTCTATAAAATATTGGTCTAGCCCTATATGCCCTATACACCTGAAGGTGTGGAAAAGGGTCCTTTACTTTACTTAGTTTTATTAAAATGAGACTGGTTGAACAGGATATTACTAGAGAAATTACTACTATATTGTATTTTTTAAATTTCTTTATTTCTTAGGTCTTGTGATTTCTTGCCGCAAGCATTTGCTCTGTTCCCAGACAGAGATTACTGCATCATTACGTTACCTCACATGGTACCAGAGTTTCCACTCATCCAAAACTTTGTGGTGAGAATTTTACAGTCTTTGTCATGTCTGTGAATATTAAACACATTTAAAGATTAAAATTTAGAGGATTGACTTCATTGCACTTGGTTTTATCCCTTTTGACTCAATCTGTCTCCACAGAATGGCTAGTCATCTGCTGAGAGCGCCAAACGAAGCCTGAACTCCGTAGCTCCGGCTCTCGGTAAAAACTGCACTTATGAACTGAAGGGCACAGCCGTGGAATGAACCCACAACCTTCAAAGCGGGAGGCAAACGTCTTGACCACTTAACAATGGAGATCTCCTTTTTGAACCAAGTGAATCGTGGTTTTAAAAAAAAGCATGTTTCAAGAAATATAAGTATTAGATAGGTCTGGGGTTCCCATGGCAGGGCAAGTGGATGTTTATTTTTTCAGCCAGCATCTTCCGGAGTCAGTTTTAGACATCCTAGAGTGGAAGCTGTGTATTACAAGTCTGAATGTGATAGTCTGGTTTAAATGTGACTGTTCTAAGAAGCTGGGAAACACTGTGACTGCTCTAGGAAGCTTCCAAAACACTGACTGGTTCAGCAAAACAGGGGTTTATTTAGTGCTCATAGGAGGAAAAAAAGGAAGAGACCTCACAAACTTAACTGTTATGAACGGCCCATTTAGAGATCTCTTCATGCCTTGACACTGTGATGCATTCCAGGAGTAGAGAAAAGAATAAGATGAGGGTTTCCATACTGACCTAGCCTAAAACGGATGTCTGGAATTGTCCTTAGAAATAGGTTTGAATGGATGATAGGCAGGTTTACTGTTTTTAGTTGTGGCAAGTTTTTTGCTCCTGACCATAGTCGGCTGTTTCAGTTTTCTCTGTATGTAGACTGAAGGAGTTGAGTGCATGACATGACACTGATTTGGAATGTTTTTTGACTGACCAGTGCGGTGGATGTTGTGAACAGTAATTTCAGAAAACTATTGATCTATGTAACTTCTGCTTTCATCAATGCTGAACTGCATTTCTGGTGTCAGACTGTTAGTGTTAACACCTCTGATGGCTGCCTTTTGCATTTATTGAGTGTGTATTCTATTGGATATGCTGAGACTGCAGTCTGTGTGCATTTTTTCAACAAGAGACAGTGATAGAAATTATGTCTGGTTTTCGCTGGCGCAGAAACGAGTAACTGTGGTGTGACCTGTTTGCTGTGAAGTTGAAATTGTGACTACCTGATTGCAATTTGTATAAAAAATATGGGTCTAGAGCCATATGCCTGATTGTGTGCAAAGGATCCTTTACATTTTTTAATTTCCTGTTCAACCCACTGAGCTTTATTGGCTATGAGGTATCCAATGCCATAGAAGTTTGGTAAAAGACTGTTTCAGAAATATGATGTTAAAAGAAAGTGAGTTGTTGTCAGAAAAGCTTTCAGAAATATGAGTGTTAACTCTTTCAGTCCCAAGGAATGCATCACACCTAGAAGCCCAATTACCACAAGATGCATCAGTTTTATGTCTTTCTTGACTGTCCCTTGGGCCTCTGATGCTAAACCCCCTGGGACTTAAAGAGTTAAAGTGAGACATGATAAACAAGTGTTTAAGAAATATGAGTATTAAACAAGTGAGTCATTTTTTTCTGTTTATTTTCAGAAATTAATGTAAAGAATTTTTTCTATTAAAATATTGGGTGGCGTCCGTGGCTTAGGAATTGTGAGTCTGACTCATAATTCCAACGTACCACGATCGAAACGCACTGCTGGCTGCATGGATTTTTATCATGGTATGGGGCGTGGCAAGTTGATCCAGCCTAAAAAAGGTATCAGGATGGGCTGTCCTGTGGAAGTAAAGACGGCCGGCGTAATGCTGACCACATTACCCACCTAGTGCCAATGATCTGTAAAAATATGGGCGCTCTTCCCATATACCCGATACGCCTAGAGGGGTGAAAGGGGATCTTTACTTTACTTCTACTAAAATATTACTTTAGAATTTTCTTAATAACACTTTATGAATCATATGCTTAGAATCCTAAATCACTCATAAAACGATGGTGCTTTATTATTTCTATCAGAGGGTGACACCAAAATGCCCCAGCATACTGCCACAAGAGCTTTACGTATTCCATCGATCCGGACTTTTGAAGTGAGTGTTTATGTTTGTTGGCACCTTTCAATATTTTCCAGCTGATAGTGTTATATTATACTGTCAGTAAGCATAGTAGTTGAGTTGAGTTGAGTCAAGAATTGATATCACTGCACTCTCGGCAGTCCCATACCCGCTCTGTCCCCATCCTCAGCAGCCGGTGCAGTGTTCCAATACTAATGGTGCCATTCTTAGTCTGATTGTATGTCCGTCTTGCCTTTCCTCTGAATGTAGTGTGCCGGCCGACCCTCTGGTCACACCCAGGTGCATCATTCTCTTCAGCCCATAGTAATCTAGTTTCTCGTCTGACTTCGTTACTTGTTTTCAAAGGACTTTGACCATATCTGCTTTGTCATGTATCAGTTCACCACCCAGCGGTGGAGATCCAGTCTGTCTCTGCCTGTGCATTTCCCACCACTCCGGTGTGGCTTGGAGAAAAGATCCAAAGTATGCTCGCTACCCTGGACCTCGCAAGTGAAGCTTGCCACTCTGCTCGAAGCAATCCTGTCTTCACCTTTCTCAGTATGCTTTCAGAGTCTCTTACAATTACTGCATGTTTATGTATCTGGTTATCGTGCTAGATGTTGTGCTATCATATACCAGGCTGTCCTGGTGAGTAAAGCATGGGAAGGAAGTTCCTACTCTCCATAGCACACAGCATGATCCCTCACTTCACCTACCTTGCTTGCACCAGAACAAAAATAACGCTAATATGTTTGGAACAAAGCATGCTCCTGAAATTTCTGAGTCGGAAGAGCTGGGCTCTGTCCACCTGGCAGAGCTTTTCATCTAGACTAGCTGCCGATAGAAGAATTCTCTGGCAAGGTAAAAGTCAGAGGGGAAAAATAGCAAAAGGAGACTAGGAGAGAAGATGTTGGACAGTTTGACATCATGGCAGGGAAGAAGATATTTATGGACGCCTTCAATTCCTAATATGCACTTTCAAAACAGTTTCATGCCAGTTTTTTTTTTTTTTTTTTTTTGCTCAGCCTTTCATACCATCTTTTAGTCTGTGTGCTGCCTTTGTTTGAGAACTAATTTATTCCACAGGAACTTTAAAGTTCGGACTGCTTGCAGCAGTGATTATGAACATGTGGAGAAACTGGTAGAAACCATTAATTTCAAGGAAAACCTGTTAGCAGATCTACAGCAGTTCCACAGAGCCAGGAGGGATCCAGTAAGTTTAAAAAAAAAAAAAAACAGTAAAGAGATGGTACAGTCTTCATTCTTCAAGTTTAAGGTTTTGCATCAGATGTCGGTACATTACACTATAACCGGCCCACAATGAGAGTGACATCCTTTCCCATTGATGCCTTAGTCTGGTGTAGTGCTTGCACTCTTGCAGGGGTTTCAGGTGTAGCGAGTCGTATTTTACTCCTTGTCAGCGGCTGGCGATATCGCCTCTTCTATGCTGTGAGCTTTTAACAGTCCCAAAACATGTACAACTGGGTCTAACCCCAACATCCCTACTCCACAGCCTCATCCTATGTCCCACAACTGTATGCAGCCTCTATTATTATACGCTGCATACAGTCGTGCAACCTAGGATGCACCCCTGCAACTTGGTGCAAGCGCTACACCAGATCGAGGCATCAATAGGAAGGGAAGTCACTCTCATTGTGGGCCGCTCAACATGATTAGAGCCCAGATGTCTAATGGAGATGTTATGTCATCATATTCCTTGTCACTGCACATATAACATTACCATGCATGCTCAGGCCTTCAGTGCAGCTGTCATCCCAAAGTACCTCTATGAACAGATCCCATGAGAAGTTGGTTATGCCTTTTATTTTGACCTCTGTGGAGAAATAATAGCTATGAAAAAAAAAATGGTGAGAGCATTGTTTAAAAAAAAAAAGCTCAGTTCTCAGGGGAAATGACAAAAGATAAAGTTAGATTCCTTGGTGTATACTGACCAAGTACAAACACAATAGAACACTTTAGGTAATGGTTAGGGTTAAAGTTTCAGTGCCGGTCACTCATATCATGCAATGCTTTGGACTGAACAAAAAAAAAGAATTAAATTATTTTCATTGTCTTAGATTATCATGCACATTATCCTTTAGTATATGGAACACACATATTTTTGTGGGTGTTTCCCAAAACTATCTATTTATTTGTTTCCTAAAGCTTGGTCACCCAGTTTGGTCCTCTAATAGAGCAGATATTGGCCAGAATCATGTTCTCTTATCTGTATATACAGAATACTTGGAGCAAATGTTTAGCCTTTATTTAATCCACAGATGAGTTCCTCGGTGACTCCATCTTTAGCCTACCGAACTAGTGGTATAGCAGTCTTTTATGTCCTGTGTATAATCTGAAGGTTGCGCTTGTTTTCTTTAGGAAAGTCTGGTATAGAAGGAGTCTAGAGCTGCAGCAAGTATCATTACTGAAGGTAGTTAGGTGTTTGAAGACATTGCTGTAGTTCATTTTTCAGAACATATTTGCAAAAGGTAGATATATCTTATTTCTTAGTCCTAGCCACTGTACCATTTGTGATTGCCTCTTCCATAAATTGTCAGTTATCGTGTAACTTGTTTTTATTTTTATTTAATTTAAGCAGTGCTTACTATAAAAATCTGGCATGGCCTTTAATCTGCCATACCTTTTAAAGTGATGCATTCCTGATTTTTCTTTGAGTTTATTTCCATTTTGGTGACTTTCTGCAAAGTATTCTGGGAATGAAAAAAGTTAATAGATTGTGTAATTAACAGGTGTCCAGAAATGAAGTTGCATTTATTGTTAATGATCTTCTCTGAGAAATTTTGTTCCATTAAAAAATATTGTTTATTAGTAAATTTGATTTAGTATTGCCAAGTGATCAAATGGCTTTCCTGCTTGTGAGATGGAAGCTATGTTCTGCAAAAAAAAACTCCATATGATGATTGCCCAAAAAAGTGGTCATTGAAGAAATGTTGTCTGTGTTAAAACTATCAGCCATTTTATGAATTTATTTGTACATAAGCATGTTGCTTCATGCTATGTTTGTAAGTGTAAGTGACTGTCTCTCTTCTAACCATGAAATATAATGTCTGACAGACTGGAGTTGAGATACAGGCTTTTGTTGCAGAGTGCCTAAATCAGGTGGTTGGAATAGCCATTCTTCGAAGAGAAGAGGTCAGTTGTGGTCACTTAAGTTAGCAGACTGAAAGTAAACTTTGTTGACTATTTCTTTTTTCATAATGTTGCACCGAATATGCTAAAAAGGATTAAATAATTGCTATGAAGAAACCATGAGTCTATTTTTTTTTTTTTTTTAAGAGGCTTAATTCACAGTAAAAGTGGCAGTTGAGAAAGTCAGATCTCTTCATTGTAAGATGACCAAATGTAAAATATGAGAGAACATATTATGTAATGTTACATACAGAAAATCCTATCACACAGCTTGTATTGTTTAATACTGAAATAGTTACAGCTTCAGCTGTTGTAGACTGAAATGCCTGTCCCACTTCTTGCAGTTCCAACTTCATATCAGACAGTTCACTCCATAGTTTGCTTTATTACTGTGCTAAAGGAAACCACACACAATGTTAATCTAGTTTAAAAAAATTGACACAGACTGCAGTCTTAGCAAAGCCACAGCATGCACACACATTGAATGCATAAAGCATCCATCAGAAGTGCTAACACAAACAGTCCATCACTATAAATGCAGTTCATCATCGATGAAAGCAGCATTTACAACAGATCAATAGTTGCACACGTGATTAATCACATTAGGCACCACCTATTTTCTGGCAGCAGACCGCTCACCTTGTCTGGATCTACAGTTCACAACACAAAACACCATGGGCACAGTCAAAAATCATTCTAGAAGAAATCCACAGCTCACAGTCTTGCACCATGCACTGAGTTCAAAAGCCACCTGACGGAACTATATTCTTTCAGTATACACGTGGAGGAAAATGCAATGGTTAACTATTTTGTCAGAAGCAAAAACTTGCCAGTACTAAAAATAGTAAACCTGCATATCACCCATATTGACCAGAAAGTTCTCACTTCTTGTGTTCTTTGCATTCTTGAGTAAAAGCTATCTAGCATATTTTCTCTGCTCTGTCTTATTTATTACTTACTAATTCTGGCTATTCATTCAAGTACTGATTTCCTTCCTAGCATATCAGACTGCCTGGCTATTTCTCTCTACCTTCCTTTAAGCTCTTTACCAATCATCATGTTAAGAAGATTGCTCCTAACATGGTCCAGTATTTTGCCAGTTCCCCTGCCTTATGCATTTCCACATTCAAAGCCTCTTCAATATGCTGTGCCCACCTTTGTGATGGTCAACATATGTGTCTTCTTCCAGAAACGATTCTTTCTATCACTGTTCTTTCCTATCCGCTGTTGTGTTTAATATGGTTAAAGTGTATCAGTTTCCAAGACCTGGTGCTGTTTATGAGCTAGTTTTCTTTAGTTTTTGTATCTGCAGCATGAATATCAATATTTTTTTTAGTTATTGCTGATTTGTTTTTTTAACTTTATGTTAAGCCATTTTTCTTTTTTAGTGACTAAAGTAAATTTATAAATTTTTTTTCTTCAAATTCTAACTATTTCTAATTAGTTTCAGATAAAAATACATATTGTATGTGTAAACATACTTTTTCCTTTTTAATTTCTGGTTTAGAGATTTAAAGATATTGATATATACTACAACATTCAAGAATGTATCTGTTTTCAGTTTTTTTTAAATTATGTCATCATGTACACACACACAAGCACACACGCATGCACACACACACGCACACACACACACACGCACGCTCACACACACAACATTATGACATTGAAGAATGTTTGTATTTCTGGTATTGTTCTTCCAGATCAGTATAAACAGTAACATTATAACTTTGAATCATTTATCTGTTTCTGTTTTGTCCCTAGGATATCGAGTACATACGTTCACATTATAACATTGAGGAGTTCATCTACTATAACCATCATCACAGAGAAGACCACGGGCACCTCAACCATTTGGTCTTGAATCCAGTGTTTAATCACCTCACAAAACATTTTATTAAAGTAAGTTGTTGTTTTTGTTTTTTAAATTATTAAGGTGTAAAGTGTTTAAAAAAAAAAAAAAGTCAAGGACCCTTCAGGCATATTGAGCATATAGATCTAGAGCTAAATTTTATAGATCAGTTGGCACTCAATGGAGGAATATGGTCAGCATCATGTTGCCCGCTTTTGCTTCCCAGGACTTTACCAGGTTCCCATTTAAGGCTGGGGTGAAGGTTATTTTTTAAGAAAGTCTGGCTCTGTCAGAACCCAAACCTGTGACTTTCAGATCAGCAGTCTGTCAAATAATGAAGTTCAAACCATGTTATTTATGGCATCACTATCAAGTGCTGATTAGTTTGTCAAATTATGAAAAAAGGACCCTCTGCATACTATTTTCTTCTTTGTCTTTTTCTGTTCTCTTAGAGGAGCTGTGTGGTCTCGATGCATGGTGTCTTCGTCGAGTGCTAGAGTTTCCAGGTTAAATCCCCGGTAAGGGCTGGGATTTTTTCACGTGGACTTGGACTTCTAGTAATTCCCCCTGGTCTCTGGGTAGTGAGATAACGTCTGTGTGCCTTGTTGCGCACATAAAAAAATCCCTTGGCAATTGGAAATTGAACAGAGTAGCCTAACGGCGCTGCCCAGGAAAAATTTGGAGTTAAAAATCTACCTTAAGTATTTCAAGATCCTTGCCGGTGCTACAGAGCCTGTGCTCTGTGCTGAGCTACTTCGGACTCAGACTTGAGTTAGAAAAAGAACAGAGCACTTATTTTTCTGCCTTTCAGCGTCAGGTTTTGATAAGGTATCTTATGCGAGCCTGGATATGTGCTATGTAGATGCTTGTATCCATGGCCGAGGACATTCCATCTATTCGTTGCTTGTGTGGATGACCTCTGACTCTGCCTCTGTTGTCTCTGAGTGACAGGTGTCTCCGTGGTGCACTGTTTAGTGATAGTTTTGAAACGTCCAACCATTTGATCCATTGTTTCTTGATGTAGTTTAGCACTTGTACAGTCCCTGCTTGTTGCATGATTATCACCATTCACATTCTTTTATATCACAAAAACTTTAGTGTAGGCTGTTTGCCTACCTAGCTTAATCATCAATATTGACGTCATATTTCATTATGGTCTGAGGATAATGGTGCTGCAATGAGTGACCAGGGGAACTGGCCTATGTTCAATATTCAAGGGAAAGGTGAGACAGATATACAGTCTGGCTGATACTAGTGCCACTGGAATTGGAACTCTGCACTTGCTGCTGAAGATGGGGTATAAAGCACTTATGGGAATGTCCCTAGTGACATTGATTCTTTATTCAATATTGACACAATAATTTTGTGTGTGACCAGTTAGGCTCTGAAGTCTTTATAGCATTGTAAAATGGCACCTAAGCAATTATCTGGAGACAGAAGGCAGCTTGGTGCCTGACCTTGGTATGCAGTGTTAGTCAGATAGTCAACAGATCATTCATACTGCACTTCGAACCATCTGGCTCATAAGTGCTGAGATTACCTTCTCAGTAAATCCTGCAGCATACAGTGTTATTCATTCATTCAATATCATGTTGTGCTATTATACGTCACATATCGCTCGTAGTTTATTCCTCCATTCTGTCAATCCTGCGCAATCAGTTTGATATTGTGGATGGGATCTAGTCCAGCAGCTTTAGCCTGTCTCTTTCACTTTCATCTTAGGGTTTTCTTTCGGTGTCCTAGCCTCCTTAATCCTTTATCTTCCGAGTTCATGCCTGTTTTGCAATTCTCTGCGGCCTCTTCTCAGGCTGTGTCCAATTTAACACCATCTTCTGTGTCTTATAATTGTTGATACTAGTGGTTGCCCAGATAATTCTCCTATTTCTTCACGGCTTTTTAATTCCGCCCATTTTATTTACATCATTTTCCTCAGACATTTGTTTTTGAATGCATTTAACTTCCATTCCATGTCTTTAGTGGTTGTCCCTTTTGCATGCTTAAGTTAAAATTGAAAAAACATTAGAATTGAAAATACATAACTGGTTTAAAAACTGTACAAGTTAGAGTTTAATTTTTGTTCAAGCTATTAAAAGTTACTAATGCCTTGCCAATGCGTTTCATAATTTCTTTCTTTGTATTTTCTTCACTATCAAAATTATGACCCCAATAAGTTAATTGATCTGTTTTTTCAATTACTTTTTCCTGTGTTACATCTGCTTGATCTGTTGCTGGTGTTTAAAAAAAATATCTTTTTGTGACTTATTGGTAGTACAGCCCTTGATGTTATATACTTCTGCGTTTATCCCAAGATGTAATTGTTTTATGTTCGTTTACAGCATGGCTGAGATATTTGCATCTTTCGGCCAACACATCCAACTTCTGCGAGCATTCGTTGACCGGGTTAGCCTTCCCAGTTGATGCTTTATACTATGTTTTATGTTGGTTTATTCTTCTTTTTTTCACTTCCTGACTAGTGCTTTTGTCTGGCCTCACCCCATGTCACTTGCTGTTCTTGTCATCCAGTCAGGGTTGCTGATTCACAGTGGTCATCACATGATTTGACCTTGACTCCCAGGACGACCCAGCCTTGAGTGGGTACCGGGTGCAGTCCCAGGAAGTAAAGGCGGCCGGCGTGACCACATCACCCATCTTGCCGATTGGTCTGTAAAAATATAGCTCTAGCCCTGTATGCCCTATACGCCTAAAGGCATGGAAAAGGGTCCTTTACTTCCTTTTTTTTTTACATCACATGATTTTAAAGTCTTACGTCTCGTAGAGCATTCAGTATATCAGTCTGATCTATTGATCTGTCTTCTGCATTAGCCATGCTTACAGGTCTATGTATGCATATGTTATCTTCTAGCACTTCAAACTTTAGCAGAACTATCAGCCATGATTTTTTTTTAAATAGTACATCTAATATATTCTTAAATAATTATAGCTGTACACCTCTCAACCTGTGAAGTAATTGATTTATTCTTCAGGAAGTGCTGAGGCTTGGACACAAAACATGCCTGTATTATCCTCTCTATCCACCATACACACCAAGAGAGGTAAGGATAAAATAAAGTTAACACAATATTAACTCTCCCTTCATAGACAATTGTTACCTTAACACTTTCTGCCCCAGTGTATTAGAGTCACAGTGATTGAATTCTGATGAATTAGAATAATATAAAAACAGTACCTAATGTGTTGAAATAGCGATTGGGATATATTGCACTATTATAACTGAAGTAATTATAAACACATTCTGAATACAATTACCAATAAATGTAGTGATTTAACTCTTTGAGTCCCAGGGGGTTTAGCATCAACGGCCCAAGGGGTAGTCACGAGAGCTCAAAATCGGCGCATCATGCGTTCATTGGGCCTCTAGGTAGGAATCTATGAACGTATGATGCATTCTTTGGGACACAGAGGGTTAACTCTTTGTGGACTAGTCACCGCTAAAGTGGCATTTGAGACCATCCTGCTAGGACAAATCCACATTAAAGTGGTGTTTGAGACACTCTAATATTGTTTCGTTTGCTGGGAAAACAAATTAGTTTGACCATGTTTTGAATAACTAGAATTAGCAAAACGCTGTCCAGTCACTTTTTAACCTTCATAATGGTCATTGGATTACTTTCTGATTTGTTTTAAATTAATTAGATGTGATTTTTTTTTTTTTTTTTTTGGGGGGGGGGGGGGGGGGGGGTTTCTAGACCAAATGATAAGAAAAAAGGTCTAGAACTGTGCATACCATTCTGTCATTGATGAATCATAGCCAGATAGTGACAATAATCAGGATATTATGACTGATAATGCAAGTGCCAAACCTATTGCTGATAATTTAGGCTAGAATGAAGATTGCACAAAATATTTCAATCAGATTATCTGTTTCGATCAGCTGTTTTCCTACTTTTGGTTGTTACGAAATTTGACATTTCATTCAATTTTGGTCATACTGTCGTAAGTATTAAAAATAATTGTTTCAAATAAAGACTTGCTGATACCTAATTAAACAGAGGAGGCATGTAAATTCTTAAATTGTTGATCAATAAAAAAAAGTAAGGTAAGCACAACATTGTTTGGGGGGGAGGGGGGTGGGTGTAAATTAGCCTTATATCTGTCTGACATCCTTGAATGTTGTGTGATTTCAATAACATTTTATCATAATACTGATATTTAATTGTTCAGATTTACTTTGCACTTGTTTCTCTTCAATTTGATATATTATGTGTCCCTATACAGCCAATAATTGTTTTCAGAAAGATTTTAGCTTTGTCATGTTGTAGTTAAAAAAAAACACGTCTGCTCAAAATGAATGCTGTCCAAACCCCAGAAAAAGTGTCCTCCTGAAAAGAACATTGATGGAGGATACAGTTTCCAAAAAACGAGGCAGACCTTAACAAAAGTGGATACAAAACAATGAAGATGCAATGTCTGCCAAAGCACATAAGGCTGGAGAATTGGCTAGAAAAAGAGAGACTTTGAGGTGTGCCATGAAGAGAGCAACATTCCGTCAAAGATCTGCTGATTAATTGATGACATTTTTTTAATAAAACAAAATGTGAAGTGCACCCAAGTATTTGTTGGCTTTTTGTAGTTTTACCAAGCAGTTTTATATTCAATAGTTTGTCATTGCTTTCAGAAGGGTCTCCACTCCATACCATTGTCAAAATCAATGCATAGTGATATGCTGCCAATTCACCTGCAGCTGGAATATATTTCAGAATTACACAGCGTGTTCCAAACACCTAAGCCACAAACACTTGCAAAGTTCACTAAAAGTTAAAAATGGCTAAATAAATATTAAAAGGAGCCATAATGGATGGTGGCTGATGTATTAACTTACCAGTCCAGCAGTTTGAGTTCATTGTTAAGTAATAGTAAGCCGTTATCGCTCTTAGGGATGACCCGCACTTGTGAAATTTGAACCAAGTAGTTTTCAGAACTTTCTGGAATTTTTCTGGGAGTTTTCAGATAAATACCAGAAACTTATGGAAATTATCTGATACCCATTTTTATAAAGTTGTATCAACTTGAGTGCTGTACTGGGCCCCTGAACTACATGGATTAAAATGCTCTCATAGCAGACAAAATAAACCTTTCAGGACAAACAACAGTCTTAGTCTTAGTCGAGATTTAAACTTCACTGCAGTCGGGTTTCCCCATACTTGTTGTGTTCCTGTGCCAGTGCAAATCGAATGAAATGTCCTCTGCTGTCACTTTTGATAAACAGGTAAATAAATAATTAATCCCAGAACAATCCTGACATATGCGCATGTTTCTAGAGGTGTCAAAGCAAACAGTCACCACCACAAATGCAGTTTGTCGTTGAGGGAAGTAGTCGGGGATGACAAGAAGGCTATGCACAAGTAGAATTATTACATTTGGTATTTCTCTGGCTCATACATAAACTGGCTACCAGTCATATTGAATACCACGACACAAACGCTGCAAGAATTAAAGGCATTCTACATGAAAAACACAGCTCACAGGGCTGCACCAAGCACTGAACTCAGTAGCTCACACAGCGAAACCATAGAGTTCCATTCATATGTAGAAACTGCATTAGCAAAGCACTGTCGGAAGCAAAAATAACTTTGAAGCTTAACATTCTATCATGCATAATCCTCCATTTTAGGCCTACAAACTCCGGATCTCAATAAAACCTTTTTGCATGGATCCTGATACATAAGGTGTCACTGTCTCTTACTGTTTATCCTACTGCAGATCTCTTCATAGTGGCAGTATGTGAGCCGGCCGTAACTGTAACTTATTATTTATGAAGGACTAACACTAAACTCTTTTGCCAGGGCATTCGTTTTACCTTTAAATTGTTGTTAATCAATATTTAATAGCTTTGAATGAGTTGAGTTTGTCTTCATCAGAAACTTGGAAACCACTCATTAATCACTGGACTGAATGTTCTTGTCCCCGTGCGAGAGCGACGCCAGATCGACTATCCTGTGGAGACCCTCGGCATCAATGGGCCATCAGATAAGGTCCTAAAGAAGTGTTGTCCCTATGCTCTCAATCACATCAACAAGAAGCTAGTTCTGGAACCCAAGGTAAGCTGACAAAGTCTGTACATACATATGTAGGAAGTCTGTATATGAATATATAATGTCTGTACATATGTGGTAATTCTGTACATACATATTTAATAGGTTTCTACATACATATATAGTAAGGCTGTACCAGCATATATAGTAAGTCTCTATACACAAATATTCGAGGGGAAATCGGTCAGTAAGTCGCAAATTGTTATTTAAAAAAAAAAAAATTTTTAATATAAAAATTAATAAAGATAACTTGCCGACCGTTTATTTTTACATGCATACTGTATGCATGTAAAAATAAATGGTCGGCAAGTTGCCTTTTTTTTTTTTTTCAACATAATTTTCACTAACATTGATGCACTTGTCCCATCGTTTTATCAGGCCTCCTAAACTTGCTGTATAGAACTGCTTGCTGTGTTTTCTAACCCTCATTTTAACTTCACATTCAACTTCTGCGTCATTCTGGAAATCTCCCACCAAGGCGGGTTTTCAATGGATTAAAAAGGTATAAATCGCTAGGGGCTAAGTCGGGCTGTAGGTTGATGTTCCAGAAGTTCCCACCCTAGATGGTTAATTTTCTCCTGAGTTAACTAGGCTGAATGTAAATCTGGCATTGTCATAAAGGAGCAGGGCTATCCAGTCAGCAGGCTCAGATGTTTTCTATGAATGTTTTTACCCACTCATGCACAGCTTTACAGTAAGTCTCTTCACACACATATAGTAAGTCTCTACACGCACATATAGTGACTCACTACACGCACATAAAGTGTCTTTTCTTGCATATGTAGTAAGTTTTCACAAGCACATATTGTAAGTCTGCACAAGCATACATAGTAAGTCTCCACACGCACATATAGTAAGTCTCTACACACACATATAGTCAGTCTGTACCAGCATATATAGTCAGTCTGTACTAGCGCATATAAGCTATCTCTCCATACACACATATAATATGTACGTTCAAGCATATATAGTAAGACTGTACCAGCATTTATAGTAAGACTGTACTAGAATATATATAAAGTCTGTACTAGCATACAAAGTAAGTCTGTACCAGCATATATAGTCAGTCTGCTTCAGCATATATTGTCAGTCTGTATCAGCATTTATAGTCAGTCTGTATCAGCATATATAGTCAGTCTGTATCAGCATATATAGTCAGTCTGTATCAGCATA